ATCTCTCTCTATATATATATATATATATATATATATATATATATATATATATATATATATATATATATATATATATATATATATATATATTATACACTATATATATATTATACACTATATATATATATATACTATATATATATATATATATATATATATATATATATATATATATATATATATATATATATATATATATATGTACTATTTAAAACACGAGTAGGAGTGTTTTATCAGATATAAAACTGTATATCTGATTTATATATATATATATATATATATATATATATATATATATATATATATATATATATATATATATATATATATATATATATATATATATATAGTTACTTTCATCCTGCTCATCAGCACTACACTGATGAGGCCCATAAGGCCGAAACGGTACCGTCTGTAGTTAGATATCGCTCTATGGCCTTTAGGTCATATTGAGCGCTCTACAGGATGAGCCATGCCGCTTACGCATCGCGCACGCTCACTGCTTGCAGTTTGAGCGCTCTGGCATGGTTTTGATGTCCCACAATCGTGAGGCATCAAAGGTAACTGTAAATAGCAGTTACTTTCATCCTGCTCATCACCACTACACGAAACGGTACCGTCTGCAGTTATATATATATATATATATATATATATATATATATATATATATATATATATATATATATATATATATATATATATATATATATATATATATATATATATATATATATATATATATATATATATATATATATATACCGGGTGTCCCAAAAAAAAGTACTCCGGTTTGATTCGTAATAACTTCTAAACAATTAAAGCTTTTAAAGAGAAATAACTTTCATCAAATAGAGGAAGGACTAACTTAGATTTTGATATATTAGAGTTGTATTTCACTTAAAAATTCACGGAGATATTAATGTTTAAAATCGGGAGCATATTTCTGGATGTGTCTGAAATATGCAAAAAACGGCGTATCAAATATTAATCAACATTTGCCCGACTGAAACATGCACTATTACCAGTAAATAAATGACATTTGACAAATTGTTTATTATGAAACAAAGTATTATTATCTACAAAATACAAGCAAGATTTATTTGTCCGAAATCCGTGTGCATGTGTTCCTAGCACGAATACGTTTCCTTATTTCATGAGACCACTGCATCGCGAAGGATCGTCATGAATATCCGCGTTCGTAGTTCTGAATTAGGGCATGCTGTCACAATAGAATTGTGAAGCTCTTCTAACTTCTTCAAAGTTCTGAAATCTTGTTAAGAAAACTCAAACTCTTTTGCCTTTTCTTAATCTTGTTTATCTTGTTAAGTTCAGAATAAACTGAGAATGAAACACAATCAAACCATACAACTCCATAAGTCATAACAAGCAACTCCCCAGAGACATCCAACATTTTTGGAACAAAACGTAACAAAATAGTAGCGTCGATACTGTGATGTGTATTTGCAAAAAGCAATATTATTTCCTTCATAATAAGAATATTATTCATCCTGCTCTAACCGAGAAATAATCAACTCTGTTTTTAACCCATGAAAAACATAAAAAAATTAGGCTATTTAATTTAAGAAAAATTTAAGCGCCTGCCTTAGTGGTCTTTCATGTACCTTTAAGTTTGTAAAGACCTATTAAATACTTGCATAATTTCGAACATTCATATTTCAGGAAACAATGACATGAGCTAAGACTTACATGCATGTTAAGATGTCTAAATCTACGCCATATCCCTTATACAAACCCTAACGACAATTCGTTGAAATACAAGTTAGCCTGATATGTCATTAAACAAACAAACGCTGGAGTTATATTTGATATGCCGATTTTCGCTAATTTTAGACACATCCCAAAATATGCTCCCGATTTTGAACATTAATATCTCGGTGAATTTTTAAGTAAAATACAACTGTAATATATCAAAATCTAAGTTAGTCCTTCCTCTATTTGATGCAAGTTATTTCTCTTTAAAAGCTTTACTTGTTTAGAAGTTATTACGAATCAAACAGGAGTACTTTTTTTGGGACACCCGGTATATATATATATATATATATATATATATATATATATATATATATATATATATATATATATATATATATATATATATAATATATATATAATATATATATATATATATATATATATATATATATATATATATATATATATATATATATATATATATATATATATATATATATATAGTACAATCTGCAGACATGCATGTTTCGGCGTCCAACGCCTCGTCAGTGCAGCTTGGTACACGTCTAGATACGTGAGACACTCGTATTTATATCCCGTGAACTTGCTCTCACCAAGGCATGTGGTACAACACGGTGACTCAACGCATCCAGACATGCGCAGAGCGTAATGGGGCCAGAGTGCTCAAACGACCACAAGGGAAGCGAGCTTTGCATTATCGCTAATAGTCACCCATTAACAACTCCGCAGAGTGCTCAACAATACCGAAGTGAAGGAGCGTAATAGTACAATCTGCATATATATATATATATATATATATATATATATATATATATATATATATATATATATATATATATATATATATATAAAGATGAAAATGTTCTAGAGTGTGTATTATATAATTTCCATACCCAGCGCAGGCAGAAAGATGTTGTCTGCCGCGGCTGGGTCTTGAACCCGCGACCTTCGAATTACTAGATCGACGCTCTACCAACTTAGCTACACGGTCAGACGGATTTAAGACTGGAAATATATAATACACACTCTAGAACATTTTCATCTTAACATATTACAGAGTGTACAATAACA